ATAGTCACAATAAACTGTTTCATCTGTGTCCTTATCTGTAGGATCAGAAGAGGTTTTGTCCTGGAAACAATATGCATAACTTCTAGGTAAATAATCTCTTTTCCATGTATAGGTTTACGCTTCACTAGTTACTCACCTGCTACTTAGCTGTAGAAATGCTCTTTGTTCAGAAAGAATCAGAGAAGGCTGTGGACTGTTGTCTGACTTGCAGTGATTGGACCCAGAAAAGAGGCTGCAGCTGCAAGATTCTTATATGTTTGTATGCTTTATTTGTTAGAAGCAAAGTTCATGATGAAGGCTTCTGATGGGAGACCTACTTAGTACGGAGGCTAATAATAAAGATTTGGGGGGATGTCTCAAGTGTCTTGGCTGAATAAAATACGCTTAAATGTAAATCCATAGAACTACAGAATGGAGGTGGTTCTTCTAGATGTGGGTACAATTTTGAAAAATAAAGGTAACTTGAGAATTTATCCTAGCCACCAAAATAATAAGTCCAAAAGTTATCAGAAAGTGAAAATACTCTGAAATATTTGACTCGATTTATCTACGAAAGTGATGGTAAGCTGCTGAAATACCTGTGCTAAAGGATTGATTGATTGATTGATTGATTTATAAAAAGAAAGTTGTACTCCCATGGTTTTGAATAGTAACGTAACTATTGAACCCAGGGTACAATGGACACTATCAGAAAAGCCCCATATGGGTGTGCTTTAGATCTTTTGAATACCACAAAAGTTTAGTGACCTAGAAGTGAATCAATAAAAAGCCATCCTGTATGTGACAAATTGAAGAACTGAGGGATTCTTACAGATGCATTGACTTTAACAATTCAGGATACATTGTTTGTAAAGCCTTTTCTGAGACACATTTAATCCTTTGAATACTGTAGCAGGCTATGAAGTGTTTTATATTTAGATTGCTGTCCAGTAGTTCATTTTCCTGTTTTTACTGTAGGTTTACTGTTATGAAAATCAATGTTAGAAGACTAAAAGAAAGGCTAATGCTAAAATTTTGTTTCCTCGCACTGGTAGATGTGTTTTTCTTTTTCTTTGCTAAATTGAACATTTCTTACTGCTTTGTAAAATGTGTTTTTGGAAGAGTGTGGCAGTCTAAGAACCCCTTTTATCCTCAGTTAAAACACTGCAAATAAATATGTCACTCAAAAAAATTACAATCTTGAGTAAGTGGATGAAAGAGTTTATACCCCTGTTCCATGTTGCTCCATTTCTGTAATTTGTTTTAACGTTTCAGTATTTCAAATAAAATTTGAGTAAAAATTCTTAACCTACACAACAATTCTTAACCTAACAGCCTCACTTCCTATTAGTTTAGTTACATGATTGTTAATGCACAGTATAATTTCTTATATTTATCTATGCCTTATGGAGCTTATATTAATGTTTTGCACAAAACTGAGCATGTTATTCACTGTCAAAGGAATAATTAATTTTAAAAATCGTGATACAAAAAGACACTCCTTTTGTATGTTTATGCATGCAACTGTAAACTACCTGGACAAAATGTGATACTGAGTTTTACTCCATTAAATGTGAGTTAAATCCTGACCCCGTTCAAATCAATGCAACTCAGTGTTTCTGTGCCCCAAATTATGAAGAGAGGTGGACTTTACCGTGTAAAGAAAAATTAATAAATGAAGATTTTTGATTCACCAAGGATGCAGTAAATGCTGTGGCTTAGGATCCTTCCAGAATGCGTGACTAGTGTTCCTTTCCCCCTTTTGCTCAAAGGTAAGGAGGTCTAACTGTATCACCTCCCCTGACATCTGCTGCAGTGATGTGATTACATGGGAGGCTTGGTGACTTCTTTCAGGTAGCTCAGACAATATTTTTTTCTTTAATAAGTAGCTATCATGCTGTCACTTTCGTTTCTAGGGAGCTTTGCTGCTTAGATTGCGAGCTTCATAGGTAGAGGTTAGCACATGGAAGTCAATATACTGTAAATATTATCAGTTATATTGCAATAAGCAACAGAAGTATAAATAACTGTAAAGAGAGCCAACATGGGGTGGTGGTGGGGGAAGTATGCATGTTCCTAGACTCTGGCTGCCAGGAAGAAGTGCTCTAAATATGTTGTTTTTTCCCCTTGTTGAAACAGTTTAAGATCTAACCTGGCTTCAAATAATCTATTTAACAAGTATGACTGTAATAGTTCTTCAAAAATTTAGTCAGTGACAGTGCTAATTTTTGCTTCTGCAACTGTATGGTAGATGTGTTTTTCCAACTGAGTCAGTTTTGTCTCAACTGAGTCTTTGCTCTCCATCCTAGTCTCATACCTGGTTCTACATCCACAATCCCAACACAGTGTACGGAGCTGGGTTACTAGGAAAACATAGGTCTTCAGTAATACTATTAAAGGCTTTGTGTGCATACTAGAGTAAATTATATAAAATATTTAATTAAAGCTATGAAAATCTCAAGGAAATTCTATAATACTTTTGAAAATCAATCCTGCTTTTTTTTTTTTAACAGAGAACCCAGCTCTGTCAACAGCAAACATTTGCCTCTACTGTGCTTTTCACCCTACTGATAATCTGCTCATATTCTTCACTAGGTTGTTATTTAAAAAAAAAAAAAAACATAGTTATTGCAAATACATTAGAAAGCTAATGTGGCCTGCTAAGGAGGCTAACAGTAACAAAGGTATGTTATATAGTCTGAGTTCTTAAACTTTCTGACTCTACAATAAGCAGGATTCATCAAAGGCTAATACTAGTGTTGTAGTAATTGTGTTACTTTGGCCTTATTTGGGTATCCAGTTCCATGTTACCTCGTGTCTTAGCTACTGTCTTGCAGTTCATTTATTCTCTATCTCAAAAGCTATCTCAATCTCAAAATGTTGCTTCAGAGTCACTTTTAGTAGATTTATTTTTCAAGTGTTTATATTGCAGTTGTGTCTCCTTTAAAAACTGCACTTTTTTCTTATTGAGTTTAATGAAAGGGAAAGTTTTAATAAATCTTTCTCCTTAACAATAGCAAAGTAGGTAATCTTGAAGCTGTATCTTTAGGGATCATTCTGGAGAAGTAAGGAAGGAAGAAAATAATTTTTCCAAGTTATAAGTGTATAGCTTTAAAAAATGTATATTAAAACAATTATCCCAGATACCAAATGCAAAAGTTTTTTCATTTAAAAAAAAAATAAATAAAAGTCAGGAAAAATTCTGTATTGTCCCATGGAAGATGGGGAATATCTTTGGGAAAACTTTAGGAGAATCCCAGTGGATTTGAAAACTTAAATTTTGAATTTTTCTCCTGTTAATTAGGCATTTAAAGTATGTGTATATGCTATGTGGAATGTAGCAGTGCACGAGTGTTTTTCTGTCATTTGCTTCCTAGTTTCTCCGCTGCCATTATGTTCTTTCTCCTTTTCTGGTATGCATCTCTGTTCTTCCTTTTCCCCCACCCTGCTTCACTGGTTCTTTCTGATTCCTAAGCTCTAGAACTTAATATTTTACATCTCAATTAATATTGTACATATCAAGGTGATAGTCTCTTTTGTTTTACTCCTTTAAACATTCCTTTATATACTGTACTACTATATGCTATACTACTAAAGGAGTATAAAAATACTCCTTCAATTTTTTTTTGCAGTTTAGATTTCAATGACAACTTTCTTCTTTCTTGCCTTTTTTCTTGGTTTAATGTTTATTTGTTTCTTTAATATATATTCATATGTGATTCATAATAGAGAGGAATTGTTTCCAAGTTATGCAAAGAATATCTTGAGAGTCCTGTTGGTCCTGCGTACAGAAAATATCATCCTGTATTGCTCTGCTACAGTGTCCCTGTATATTATCTTCCAGCAGCCACATTAGCAGATGGAGAAATAAAACTTGACGTTGTTGCATTTATTTTTCTCACAAAGTATGTCAGATGTCACTTCCAAATAAATGACAGAAATATGTTGTTCTAAAGGACATGGTCTAAAATTTTACTGGACGGTTGATCTAATTGTTGTGAGGAATGTTTTATGCTAGCATTAACATTCCTGTTTTTGCATTTCCTATAAATAAAGGAAATCAGAGATGTTTCAGAAGTTGTCATTTACTCGTTTGCTTCGCCTGCAATTTGGAGTTACAACGAAGTTTAGTTGTATGAAGCTCATTGAGACTTCCTATATCTAATAATTTCTAATACTTAACTTGCAGCAAAGAAAAACTCAAAGAAATGCGAGCCTTCTCAAGTCAGTGGGAGTTTGTATGTTGATTTCAGGAGATCAGTATTCATAATATCTGTTAACGCATATTATCCTACCTCTTAAAATATTTAAGTTCACATGTCTTTTGAATGCACTCATGTTTTTGCTCTGGGATAGCTTTCAAAAATGACATTCCAAATGAATTGTCTATCAGTTGAAATTTTCCTTTTAAAAACTTTATACAGATTGGCAGGTTTGTCTAATTTTTTTTTTTTTTCAGTATTTTGGTGTTTGTGTTGCCTGTGTTGTACTACTTACAGTTTTCGAAATAAATACTGGTATAAAAATATTTCTATAAGAAACACTACCATTATGGCTTTCTGATGCCTAAATTTTACATAATTAAAATTTTAAAAGCATCAATTAATAGATATTTTAAGTCAATTAATATTTTAAGCATTAAAAATATAAATTTTTAACACAATTCTCCCAAACAAACAAAACCCCCTTCCCATTAAACCATGATTTTGGTAAACTTAGTTGATACTGCTGGTAAACCTTGTTATGAGGGTGATGTTATTGCTGCCTTAGGTCTATATCCCATCTGTATCTTAGAATCAAACATGACTGAGAACTATTTCTCTCTCTTGGAAAATTAGGAATGCGTATTATTGAGCATTACACTTAAACCTCTGGATCCATATTGTTTAACTGTTATCTCTATTCTATATTACATAGTCTATGAGGAGGTACACGGAAGAGGGCTTTTATAGTGTTGTGGAAATTCAGGTCGGTGTTTTATCTAATCAAAAAAAAAAATCCAACCATTCTTGTTTCCACAGAGGAAGATAAATATGGTGTTTACTCCAATTTGTTGTTCAAGTATTTTCTCGCAGAGGGAGTTGTCTGTGGACATGACTTGTTTGTTGCTTCTGCTAAAGAGCTTCCTACCAACATCTTAAAGGTAAAAAAAGACTAATATCTTTTGACAAATAAAGCTATAATCTCTTGATGAATTCAAATACATTTTAAGATGCATGTGTTGTATAGTAGCAAATGGATTATCTTGGTGATTCACAAGAATACACTGGCAAGTGCAGGAGTGTTTACGTTAGCCAAAATTTGGGAATTACGTTTAGCTCGCTCTATAGACAAGGGAGTAAGATCCTCCTAAGGGTCATCAGAGTAGGAGCCTACTTATCTTTCATTTTGATTATAAAAGGAACCCAGACAGACCAGATAGCTAAATGGGATGGTTTGAATAAACCCAGCTCTTTACAGTTTCCTCATACTTACAGTAAAGAGTAGTTAACCTGCTTTTAAGCTGCTTGTGGGGGGAAATAGTTTACAGTTTATGTATGTATGTATTGTAGTTAGCTATAGGAAGGAAGGATGAAATTCGACATCTTTAAGTACAACTTCCTTTACATGTACTTTTCATTCGGACTGTCATCTCTCTGCTGGGAAACTTGGTAGCTTTGGATTAGGTCACATAAAAAGGCTCCTTTCAGACTTCAGCAAGCTTTTGATCAGTTTCCATTATAAGGAAATAATTTTAAGGGAGAAAAGCCTGATCAACACTGCAAAAAAATGCTAAAGTGCGAGGATAATCTTACCAAACTTCATTAAATATTTTATGTCTTTCTAAGGCTGCTTTTTTCTGATATCAAAAGTAACATATAATTTACTGATTACTTCTGCATCAAGTGAAGTCTGGCTGTTTCCTTAAGAGTATTCAGAGACTCTGTGTTTCTGGACAAAATGATTGCTTTCTTTTTTCCTACCTAGCGATGTTGGATTCTGTGCCTTATCTAGTTAGTATTATCATAAGTATTTAGGAAAAATTGTTTTTTTAATGGAAAGATATAATTGTGGTTATGACAAATCTAATAGTTTCTACAATTATCTTGAACCTAAAGATGGTTCGTTTACAGATGGAATTTTTCTTATTTGTTTCATTTTAGAATATAGCCTAAATAAAAAGGTTAGAATTTGATTTGGAAGTATGAATTGCACAAGAACATCCTATATATATATTTTTAAGAAGATTAGTTTTAAAATAGGTGGTAATCAAGTCATTGACTGTCTGACCATACAATACCAGATCATTGCAGTTATTTTTCTCATCAACGTTAAATTATCCAGAGTAATATTTTTATTGTATTATATTTAAGTATCTTAAAATGGACTGGCTAACGTGTTGTATTCTTCTTTCATTCATCTTTTAACTCAATGGCTCGTAGTATGGCATAGTTTCTAGCTCCTGTTCGTTATGCTTTTACAAATTAATTTACAAATTATTACATACCTCCATCCTTTTCTCTACCAGTTTGAGTTCATACTCTGACTGGTCAGTTAGTCTCATGTGACAAATTGAGCTTCGTCATCTATTTTAGAATAAGTTTTCCTTCTTATTTTCAGGGGTGGGCACTAGGTAATCATACTGCGTTCCACTGCTGTAACTCCATAGTGGTGTTACTATAAAAGATTATAAAAGGATATTATTACCAAGGAAGGCTGAGATAATAAAATTTTGTCTTGTTTTCTTCCTCAGTTTGTGTGTTTACATATCCAACAGTGCTCTTGTCCATACTTTTCCAGTCTTGCCTCGACTATTCACCTCTTCCTTTGCTTAGCAGGAAAGGAATTTCTCTGATTTGTATTACTATCTTGAAATTGTTTCAGAGAGGTTCCCCTCTAATACATTTAGCATCAATATAGAAAATTACGTGCTTTCACACTTGGCAAGCTTGGGCACCTTTAGAAAAGCCGATATGCGTTATCTAAAAGAACACTATTGCCTCATCCAGAAGTTGACCTAAGACTGGCTTTGGACACAGTTAGCTCTCCAAAGCACAGTAGAAGAATTTTCCCTAAGACTGCCCTACTTGACTTCTACAGGGGAGCACGTTCAAGCGCTTCATCAAGAAATCCCCTCTTGTGATAAAAATGAGCTGTTCAGGATTTAGACACCTCCGCTAAGTCAGTTTTTTAAGGCAACGCATCTGACCTTTGAATAGCATTGTGTTTTATTTAGTGCAAATGCTAATTAATTTATTGTCAATATTTGACTAGACTGTATTCTTTACTAGAAAGGCAACGTGATTTGTTACATATCAACCTTGAATTGCGTATTTCTTTCTATATATATGCATACTTTTTTTTTTTTTAACAAAATTCAGGCATGGATTCAATATATTCTGTAACTAGTATTGTAATTAACTTATTTTAACTAAAGGTAGTTTTAAATTGCGTCCTTGTGTCCTTATTGTGTGGTCAGTCTATTTATGCATTCAGTTCTCTGCTGAGATGCCATATTTGCCCTATTTTAATTTTACGACGTGATTCGAAGTTTCTTGAACTTGTAACCAAGACAAATATTGCTGGTAGTAGGAAGGGGAAAAGACAATCTTATAGACCATAATTATCTTGAAATTGTGTATAACTAAAAGACAAGTAGAGGATAAAAAGCCCAGATCAGCTGCCTAAGATATATTATATTTCCACCCACCAATTTATCCATCATCCTTTGAAAACATATTCATGCCTTTTGTAGTCAAAGCTCCTTCAGGAAGTTGGCATTAAGACGTAATCCTGAAAAATTATACACCTCTGGTAAATCCTACAGAACTATATACATGCTGCTTTTTTAGAATTATTTTAAACATTTCAGAGCATTTCTGTTCAATCTATGTTCTTCAACAAAAGGCAACTTTTTGCTGTAAATTCTGAGAACAGTTTGTAATATAAGAAGTACTATGATATATTTCTGTAACAGATAATTAAAAAAAATTGCATTGGAAAATGAAAAACTAATCAATAATAATATTTCCTTCAGTCATTTTATACCTTAACATTTCATTTTCAGTAGCAAACCTTATACTTAGACTTAAAATTGCAAGGAATGATTATGTCCTCATGCAGAAAAAGCAAAAGGAATCTAATAAAATAGGTTTGTTTCTTGTGTCTGTTTTCTTAATGGGGCTATATTCAGGGGTTATATTTTTTAAATAATTCAGCACTTTAATGCCAACTATTTTGAAGTTGCATATAATGTTTATGTTTAGAATGCAACATATGTATTTGAGTATGTGGATATGTTTATTACCAGGGAAATCAAACTTCAAAACTATATTCTGCAAAATGAGGTGGAAACATTAGTGACTGAAGTCAAGCTGGGAGAAGCAGCTGCATATCTTCTTTCTGCAGGCACTGTTATACTGCACTAGTATAAACTCTAAGTAATTGGAGAGCTGTAGTTCCTTGTTTTTCCCTTAGAAAACATTCCCTAGATATTTGTATGTATTTTTCTAAATCACAGAATCACAGAATGGCTGAGGTTGGAAGGGACCTCTGGAGATCATCTAGTCCAACCCCCCTGCTCAAGCAGGGTCCTCTCAAGCAGGGTCCTCTGGAGCACATTGCACAGGATCACATCCAAAATGTTATTGAAGTTACCAATGGATTCATGTGAGCGGAGTGCAAAATCATTAGCGTATACTTTTGTAGTAGTCTGATTCTGAGTGTAGAAAATGTCTACCTTTAACTAGTGAAATGGTCTTGAGCTTTCTTGAAGTGTTTCAAATTGCTATCCATAAAATATTATATAAATCGATAGCAGAATACTAAATTATAAGAAAGTGCATATGAAAATAGCAGAAATCTATCATTTGAGCTATAAGGTTAGACTGGATGAAGCATAAATGCCAGTATTTTTTCAGGCTTCTTAAAACTTTTGCCCAATTTGAGTTATTTAGAATCTACTGAACTTCTAGAGTGATGCATGCTTTCTAAAAATATGGACTCCTGAAGGTATGTCAGGTAGTAGTCAAAGGTTCATGTGCATGTACATGTGCACACGTACATACACACACACATACAATCTTGACCTGAGTTTGCCATGGAAAGAATGAACCGTGTACTGAGAGACTGGATAGGATGCTTTAAGGCATTTTTCCAATATCAAATTCTGCTAGTTACAAAATTTAAAGGGTACCTGGGGTTAGCTTTCCTCACCCCTTCTGAAAATAATCAGAAAACAACGTGAGGATGCTTCAGAGAAGTTACTTGCCCAGCCTATATAAGAGATAAGTTAGATATAAAATAAGAGTAAATGAATCACCACTATAAGATGTTATTAGTACACAGCACAACAGAAGTCATCTAAATTCCCAGGGTAATATACAGCTGTTGCAGCTCACTTCACATAAGCCGTTTCACATAAGCTATCTCCCTCTCCTTTTCCAGGCATTTGAATATTGCCTGGACACCACTGTAACCAGTGAAATTGGAACAGGTTTGCATCCAATCTAAGTTAGGCGGAGTGCCAAACTGGTTTCTGGAAGCCATACAAATACAGAAAATACCGCAGCTTACTCACTTTTCTTTTTGGTACCAAGGTATGTTTCCACTTATGGCTCCAGGCAAGTTTAAGATATTCCCCCTGCCCTCTTCCCCCCAGAAAAGAAAAGAAAAGGTAGTAAAGATGTAAAAATCAGCCAATTGTTGAGATTTGTTATTTGTGTTGGGTACGCTTCTACATTTCTTGCTTTTCCTACGTCAGATTTGGTACTAAATTTCTAAAACTGCCTATATGAGTATATCTTTGCCATTTTTCCTTTAAAGCTGAGTAATTATTTTATCTGGGCCTAGGGGAAACAGAGTCTCACAAGCTGTAATGAACAAAAATCAGATTACATTTACCTGTTATCACATCTTGATACGAGTGTTCTCTGTTAAGTTGATGTTACCTTGGAGGCTGCATAGAGTTTGTCTCTGGAGGAAGATTTACTGGTCATTATACACACAGGCAGACAGAAACCAACATCCCATGTAGTCAGACACACTTTCCCTGTGGGACCCATGGCCTACGTTATGTCTTGGACCATTCTGTTGGAAACTCAGAAGCAGGAGGTGGAAGTGCAGGAGGTCCAGAACTGCTTTCCAGAGCTGCATCTATTCATC